CAAGAATATTATGACCCATAAATGTTATTTATACATCGTATTTAAGAGCTCGTTGCATTATTTTACAAAGTTCATAAACTACATTATGTTATATTTGTTCGTTTCATCGTTGAGAATTTTGAAACTTGAGTATTTCTCGTTGAAATTTTGTGTATTTAAATTATGATATTCTCATTGTATATTGGTGGCGTTGCCTCTGAAAAGTGTTAACTGCAGGATTGTTTCACCGCGTCTTATGAAAATCGTCTCTTTACGTGTTTCGACTTTGATTCTATATTCCATCTGAATTTTAACTATTTTATTAATTGCTTAATTTTTTGTGAGTTAAGTCAATTAGGATTAATTTTGTCTTTATAAAAGATTGTTCTTTGATGTGGACTAATGTTCCTTACATGTTTGTTCTTGAGATATTCAGCTCTCACATTTTTTTGCGTGGATTAATCTTATTCGATCTTGTTTATCAATACTAGTAATTACCCGTGTGATGAACGGGAGGGTATTTTTGTTAACATAATATTAATATTTAATATTAATTAAGTTGTTATTTGTAAGAAAAGTAAGCACGTTGGGTGCGAACTATAAAATTTATAAATTATTGAAAACTTCTTTGTACACAACGTTTTTGGTTTGATTTGGAGGCGAGTCACCGTCACCACAAAATAAAATTTTCAAACCACTTCGGTTGGTGACACGGGATACAACAACGTATAACTGTCTATGGCTGAACACATGCTTCTTAAGAAACAAACCAACATGCGATAACGATTGTCTCTATCTCTTGTTGATAGTCATGGCGTACGATACCATAATAGGAAACTGACGCCTCTGGAACTTCAAAGGATTTCGAACATCAGAAAGAGTAATAGCCATTCTAGGAAGCAACACCTTCTCGCCTACGTGATCCCTAGTTAGTATCTTACACTCGATAACATGAGTTGAGAGTTTTGTGACAACCAACCTCGTCCCATTGTATAGACCCATAGAACGATCCATGTTACGCAACAACATGACGGGAGTTCCAATCTTCAAATGCAACTGATGATTTGGAATTCCGGAACATTTGATACTATTTAAGAATTCATGCGTGTGGATATCATACAGAAAATCGTTATTAGAGTCTGACTTGCAAGTACTATCAGAACTTAAGTACGTCTGACCGTCAGATAAATTCAACGATGTCATATACTCATTGATAGACCTAACAACATCTAGCGTAGAAGCTAATATTGTTTTGTTCTTTAAATAACTGGAATCATCGGTTGCCTGCTAAAACATTGGATACGTGCTCTCTACAATTTGGGCAATCGGATCATCCGAGGGCACAAACATTATATCCTCAGGTATGTCTATCATTGCGCAACCATCATTAGATCCTCCTATGATTCCATCTCCAATGCACGCTATCCATTCTACAAACCGAGGGACCTCATCACGTTCTTCTTGAATTCGTGAGGGTTTGAAGATGCATGTTTTTCGTAAGACGGAGCACAATACAACTCCTCCAGATATCCGAAGAATTAATCGCAACATTCACTATGTCCTGACGGCTACCATTCGGTATAACAGGAAGAATTTGTCGGAAATCTCCACCAAACACAACTGATTTGCCTCCAAATGGTTTGTCCTTGTTAGAAGGATCAATTGCTCCCATAATATCCTGCAATGAGGTTTGGACAACTTCGAAGCAATGCTTGTGCATCATTGGAGCCTCATCCCAAATTATCAAATAAGCACGTATTATCAATTCTGCGAGACAACTTTCCTGATTGATATTGCAAGTGGACTCATGGTGGGGATTCAATGGTATTCCAAACCGAGAATGAGTCGTTCGTCCACCGGGCAACAAAAGCGATGTTATCCCACTCGATGCTACGCACAACACTATGCCACCTTAGCATCTAATACCAGCAAATAATGTTCTCCACAAATAAGTTTTGTCCGTTCTACCATATCCGTATACAAAAAAAACACCGCCTCGACCAGAATCAACAGGTTGGACAAAGTACGAGTACTTGGATACAAAATATGAAGTCGTAAATCTTTGTACTTGAAACTTCTCATTTGAATTTTGAATTGGAAACTTGCTCAAATTGGCAATAGTCAGTTCCCAGTCACCCCATTCACGGAGTCCCACACGAGCACAATCACGACCCATTGCCACTCTCTTGAAACACAATCAGTCATAGCTCTTGATTTCCCTAGTCATTATAAGAATAATTGATTTGTACAAATTATACCTTTTTTTTTTCGTTAGTGGAAGACTTCAAATAAAAATCTCATAGATTGAATGAGAAACTAGTTCAAAAGATGAAATGTGTGGTAAATGAGTTTATGTAACTCACAAATTGAGTTTAAGTAGCTCCGTGATTTTTGGACTTGCAAGTTCTCGATCAATGGCTAATGCTCAAGCAAGCCAACGAGCTATAATCATGTATGCTACAAATCTAATAAGTTTGTTAGGCACGAGTAGGATTCAACTGGACAAGTTTTTTTTTTAAGTTCGAACGAGCACAGATGGGCTTAGCGTGCACTTAGCATTGCCGCGGGCGCAACGACCATCACTGATGCGACAACTACATCGTCGCAAGCACGACGATTATCGTCGATGTGACACCAGTGATCGTTCATTATCAATTGAGTGCCTCGTCAAGCCCTGGACGTACCTGCTAGTGTCGAGAGATCGTGATTCAATGTTGAAAGACTTAACACATTCTGAAATGTGTCTATTGACACATTGAAACCCCTTGAGATGTTCAAGAATATTATGACCCATAAATGTTATTTCATTACATACATCGTATTTAAGAGCTCGTTGCATTATTTTACAAAGTTCATAAACTACATTATGTTATATTTGTTCGTTTCATCGTTAACAATTCTGAAACTTGAGTATTTCTTGTTGAAAATTTGTGTATTTGAATTATGATATTCTCATTGTATATTGGTGGCGTTGCCTCTGAAAAGTGTGTAACTGCGGGATTGTTTCGTCGTGTCTTATGAAAATCGTCTCTTTACGTGTTTCGACTTTGATTCATTATTTCAATATTCCATCTGAATTTTAGCTATTTTATTGATTGCTTAATTTTTGTGTGAGTAAAGTCAATTAGGATTAATTTTGTCTTTATAAAAGATTGTTCTTTGATGTGGACTAATGTTCCTTACACGTTTGTTCCTGAGATATTCAGCTCACATTTTTCCGCGTGGATTAATTTTATTCGATCTTGTTTATCAATATTAACATATTTAACTCGATTTATGTTAAATAATTTACAAGTTTAGAAAGCTACTTAAAAAATCTTATTCTCGAGCTTTAATCAGCTATGAACCCAATCCAACTCCTTAACTGAATGATCGACACATTTATTAAACGAGTCGAGTCAAACTTACGCTTTTTTTTTTAAATGAGCTCGAAACATTTATCAAACGAACCCAAATTGAGGTTTGAGATACACGGTAATCTCAAATGACGAGAATTTCCATGGGACTATTCTCACCAAAATCCAGATAAAACATTAGAAAACAATCCTATTTGAATCCAATATCCTAATAAATAATTCAAAAGCACACAAAACAGACCAATTATTCATCATCCTTCAACCCCCGAACATTATATTATTTTAATTTATCTACTTAAAATCTAAAACGAGAATTCAATTTTTTCGATGTTACCAATACAACATGAAATTACACACAATCACAGGATAAAATCAATCAATCAATCAATTTTGGGCTCCCTTTTGCTTGTGGGCCGCCGCATAGTCGTGGCGGGCCTTCCGCGCCACCTGGTAGACGCCGGTGCAGGCGAGGGCGAAGTTGTTGGAGAAGAGGTTCCAGTTCCTTGGGGTGATGACGGTGCAGTAGCGGGCCCCGACGGCGCCGGCGACGGCGAACGCCGCCTGCTGGGGGTACGACACGGCGTCCGGCGGCTGGGAGAAGTTGGAGATGTTGGCGGCGCTCAGGGCCCACTTGAAGGTCGGGGCCCAGAAGTGGATGGTCTTCGGGCCCGCCGGGTGGTTCCAGGCGCGGTGAGCCCAATTGCTCGACATGGGCTCTGGAGATGGGCCCAAGTGCGTGTATGTGGTGCGGGATAACGATGGGAGTGTGTTGATTTTCTTGGTAGGGTTCTGTTTATAGTGCGAGTTGGGATTTTTTTAACCATCTTCGGTTTTGGTCACGTGGTTTAGGGCGCGAGTCACGTGATGATGGATAATATATACATTTTTTGTGGTGAAATTGGCTAGCATTTTAATTGTTAACTAGTATGAGTCTCGTGTGCACGGTAAAAGATATTCATTAATATTTATAAATTAAAAATTATTAAATAATATTTACAAATTAAAACTATGAAATCAATATGTTTACATGTATTGATTTATTGAAAATGTTATATGATGATTAAATAATGCAAAATTACATAAAAATGTCTTTTTAAAATTGGTACAAAACCCGTGCAGTGCACATAAATGATAATAAATTATATTATATTTGTTTCAAACTAAGTGTCATTTCAAAATTTTTATTCATAAATTTGATTTGACTATAATGTGGTTCAATAAAATAGTTATTTTGATAAAATTTTATCATATGACAACCTATGTGAATACTAAGCATAAATATAAAATTTATATTGTTTCATTACTTAAAATAATTTATTTTTGTATAAACTATTTAAATAAAAAAATTAAGTAGTTGAGTAATATATTAAACCATAAATAATTGACTATTTCGTTTACGTCCAAGTTAATATTGACAAGAGTTATTGAGTAATTTATTAAATTATAATAACTGACTATTCCGTTTACATCCAAGTTAATATTGACTCGAAGTTATGTATAATTATTTGTTCGATTTTTAATTTTTAATAAAACTATTTTTATTGTTTAATATAATATATATCAATTTTAAACCATGCAACTAATAAAGGTAATAACCACAAGTTTTGTTAATATATTATATTCTAAATCTAAATAATGCAACTAATAAAGGTAATAACCTCAATATTTGACTAAAATGATTATGTACATTAATTTTATTAATTAAGGTGAGATATTTCAAATTTTGGCTAAAAAAGTTAACCAATTTAGTAAATCTGAATTTTAGGCGGGAAATTAAATGTTTTTTTTACTGACTTTTAGTTATCATTTTAAGTAAATATCTTTGTCTCTTTATATATTAATAGATGAGTCGAGCGCCATTCTTTTATTAAAAAAAATATTTATATCATAAAAATGTGATATGATAAAAAGTTACCCAATTTGGCTAAAAAAGTTACCCAAATTTGTAAATCTGAATTTTAGACGGGAAATCAAATAATTTTTTACTGACGTTTAGTTATCATTTCAAATAAATATCATTGAATCTTTATATATTAACATATGAGTCGAGCGTCATTCTTTTATTAAAAAAAATATTTATATCATAAAAATGTGGTATGATAAAAGTTTAGAATTGAAATCCATTTTCCTCATAGCCCATAGGCCTCCGCCTACCCTATCCACAGGACCTATTGCATACTAGTAAGTAGTAAATGAGCAACTAATTTGTACTTGCAAACAATGTTTTAAAAACCGTACCGGTCGTCATACCGGTGTAGCGACCGGTATGCGGTATTACCGGTACGACCGGTATTACCGTCTATTTTACCGGTTTTAATAAATATTAAATTAATTTGTTATTATTATATAAATAATATACAAAACTAACTTTAATTAATATTAAAATAAATTAACATCTAATAACAATATAAACATATTAAAGTTAAGTGTAGAAATTTCAATTTATATAAATAAAATAATAAAAATCTATTAAAATATATTTTTTTAAAAAAAATTGCATAAACCGGTATTTTGACCGGTATTTTGGCCGGTATTTGCCGGTAAAACCGATTTTTTCCGGTACGAAACCGGTATTTTGACCAAAACGGTATTTTGAGTGTAAATGTACCGGTCGGATCACCGGTATCCGATATTACCGGTAATACCGGCCGGTACGAACCGGTATTTAAAACATGGCTTGCAAATATTTGAAAAAATAAATACATATTTTAGAGTATTTTATATATATATTTTTTTTTTTAAAAAAAGTCATTAGAATTTTGTTTAATATGATACATATCATGCATAAGACTTGCTCACAAATATAAATACGAGTAATTTATTTCACATATGCATATATATATTGATGTTAAATTAAAAATCTTGAAATATATAAATAACTGATAAAATATATAATAAAATGAAAAAAAAAAATATTATTAAATTTTAAAAATAAATTTAAGTTAGCCAAATAATTTAAATATATAAAAATTCTAAAAGTCAAGATGAATTGTACTAAATAATATAAACATTTGTACTAAAAATAAATTTAAGTTAGCCAAATATATAAACATTTGTATTAGAGGTTTATAAATAATAAAAAAATGCTACAAATACATGAATTGTACAGATATACGTGTTATTTACTCTACGTACTATAAGGAACGATAGTACTAGACATGAATTGTACAATCTAATGTTTTTGCAACTG